CCCCCCCAAACTGCACGACGTCATGCACCGGCAGGGCACTGTGTTGATCGCCGTGAACCCGCTGCGGAGGCTAGAGGACCCCCCCATGGAGAGCTTCATGAACAGGCCGCTCAACCCGGAGACTCCTCACCCTTACGCCATCGCCGAGGTGTGTGAGATGTGCATCGTCAGCTGCTGCGTGCAGCTGCCTTCCCGACAGCAGCGGCAACAGCAGCAGTGTGCACGCGCTCAACTTGTTGGTCGCTTTGTTCTCTCTCTCGATATCTCGATATCTCCCGCCCGTCTCGATGACACGTGAGCTGTATGGTTCCATTTTCGACGAAGATGGGTTTCCCGTCCCGGTTGTATCTCCCGGTTTCTTGGTGGGTACCGAAGTCCCTGACTGGTGGTGGGCGATTTTAGCTTATCAAAACATTGAGACGGTTTATTTCTATGCACCCTTTTGTCAACAAGCAAACTGGATGGTGGTCTTGACTCTTGCCCGTGAATTTTGATGTGTGTCTGTGCATGTTGGTGGTAGGTTGCACCACTCTGACGATTGGCTCACCCAAGTGCACGCGTCTTGATGTTCTCGTTGGCTGGCGTGCGTCTGTATGCATGTGTGTGTGCTGCAACAGCTGTCCTACCACCAGATGCGGTTGGGAGCGGGACGGAAGGCGGCCAACCAGTCGATCATCGTGTCGGGAGAGAGCGGGGCGGGGAAAACGGAGTCGTCCAAGATTATTCTAAAGCGAGACAATTCAGCAGCAGTCAAAAAAGGGTCCTGGGCGTTCCTTTAGTTGTAGGGTCTTGCAACAAGGAGAGAGCTGTCGATAATAGAAGGAAGGGATATCCTTGAGAGGGGTGCGAGTCTCTTGTCAAAAGTTTATTGGTGGTCATGATCGATGGTTTGGGAGGCGCGTTTGGCGTGTGCTTTGGCACTGATGCGAGAGATGTACAAGCGGAGCAGAAGAATTAGTCGAAGGGCAACTTTTTGGGTACACGTGAGAGCGCGGCGAGAGATGCGAAAAAGCACGCAGTCCTCTCGCGGGCACTTATTGTAGAAGTGATTCCACCACCTTCTTTCGGATGTTTGATTGGCTACCGTTCTTGTCCGCTTCTTCCTCCCCGGGCTCCCACGTCACCCCCCTTTTCCCGCTTCCCCTCCTTCGGCAGGTTTTTGACACATCGATCCGTCGGAGGCGTTACGAGCCTGGAACAGAAGGTAGTGGACTCCTCTCCTATCTTGGAGTCTTTCGGAAACGCCAAGACGATGCGAAACAACAACTCTTCGCGTTTCGGGAAGTTCCTGAAGATGCAGTTCACCAGGGATAAGTACCGCCTCGCGGGAGCGTTCATCGAGACCTACCTCCTGGAGAAGAGCCGCGTGCTTACCCAGTGCAAGGTGATTGTTACCTCATGACGTCATTGTCGAAGTAGACGTACTTCGACGTAGTTTGTATAGTTGGGTATTGGTGTCGTGTTCCCGGTGTTGTGATTGTGAGATCTCGTGGTATTGTCTCTGATGTAGCGTTTGGCCGCACCGACCAACCGGCTAACGAATTCTTCAAGCAACAGCAGCAGTATCCTAGGGTTAGAGGGCTAAAGGGCCAGATGAGCCAGCTGTTTATTTCGCTTTTCCTCGTCTGTTTCTGATGCCATCCATCGCTGGTTTGCGTTGCGTTGGCCGGGCTACATGGGACGCGCGCTGATTGCAGGGGGAGCGTAACTTCCACATCCTGTACGAGCTTGTGAAGGGGGCGGCGAAGTCCGGCCTGGCGAAGGACCTTCAGGTACGGACCAACAACGAGGAGGACTTGCTTAACTGGGCTCAAAAACGGTGCTCGAGTTCCCATGCTTTGACATACATTGTAGTGAGCGATAAGTTCTTAGCTGCCAAGTTCTTGGACGCGGGCGCTAGCTGCCATTTGCATTCCAGAAGTCACTGCTGGGAGCAACTGAGTGGAAGTCGAAGACAACAAACATCATCGAGCTCCAAAAGAATCGAATTTGTTTCGGGAAAGAAACTCGTCCAAAATGCTGCGCTGTCAGTACCATAAGAATCGCCCAACGCGGATGTAGGTTAGCAGCAAGAACTACGTAGTTGCCCGGGCGCACTGACTGAAAAAAGAGCATGAAAAACATCTGACGGTTTTACAGTGTGAGCAATAACAATCTTCGGGGTAGATTTGGATGCCTTTTGAGGGCACTAAGCAGGGAAACATCGTTAGGGAAAGGAGAGGTGTTTGCTTTGCTGTGCCGTCCGCACCCCTTGCCGTGTACTGTCAATGTTGTACGAGCACAAGCTAGGATGTGGTGCCGAGCAATGACAATTCCCCCGACGGCATAAAATATCGCGTCTAGCCTGTTTGGTATAGGTCTGAATCGTCGAACACTAACCTTGGGTTCCGTGCCACATGGCCAGAGAAAACGGTTTAAGGGGCGGCGAAGACGCCCCTTCCCCTCCCGCCCCCGGCTGAGCCGTTGCTTACTTCCCTCCCCATGTGTCCGAACTGCTTTT